CGACGGCTACGCGCGGCTCGCCGAGGAAAGAGCAGCGGTGGTCCTTCTCGGTTGCGGGGTTGCTGCGATGGCCGAGGAGACCCGTCGGAGCTTCTGCTGGTTCGGAGAGGAAGAAGACTACGGCTCGCCGGAAAAAGGGAGCTGCAGGAGGAGAGTTCGCCGGAAGGGGCCTGCTCGCAAACACGAAGTCACCGGAGGGTTGAGAGCAACAACGGCGAGAAGGTGCTGCTTGCCGGGAAAAGCTTCTCGAGGTGGTGCAGCAGGGTCATCGTCGTCGTCGGAGGATGCAGCAGCTCGTCGGCGGAAGTCGGGGTGGAGGTGCTGATACGCGACGAGTTGCAGCGGAGGAGGGTTGCGTCGTGTTGGTTGATCGCTGAGGAGGAATCGCTGCACGGTGGCTCGCCGGAGGGAAAGAAATCAGCGCACGGTGATGGCGGGCTGGAGATTCGACCGTCGCTGTGAAAACCAATGGCTGCCGTTGGCTGGCCCTCCGTGAAGATCCGTTGCTGGTTCACAACCGCGAATGATGAAGAGCGCGACGCGATGAGAGGAGATGAGGGGAGAGAAAAGCTGCGGCTTCTCTTGTTGAGATCGCTAACGAGCGAGAGACAGAGAGAGAGGAGCAGATCTGATTGACGAGAGAGGAGATTGAGAGACTGCGGCAATTTGCTATTCCAAAGAGAAAAATTATAGATACAGATTCTGTGCATATATATGCACAATTGAAAATAGGTTAAAAAAAATTGTCTTGCCCCACAAGAATTTTACACAAAAATAGGAGACGGAAAACCGGCGAGTTTGAGCTTATGGGCCAGATTTTTGGAGTTGTGAGCCGGATTTCAAAATAAATCGGCCCACGGGCTCGGTTTTTGGTTCACGCGGGTATTTTCGGGCTCGATAAAATCACACGTTAATATATTCGGCTCTCGGGCCCGATTCAATCACACGAAAATAAATCCAGCTTTTGGGCTCGGGTTCTCCGATTACTAATTTCGACAGTTCCAATCGATCGCATGATAAAAGAACAAAACTCCGGACAATATAAATTAAATACGTACATTGATTTAAAATACTAATATTATTAATCAAAATATACAATTAGCAGTTAATTGACAATTAGACATATAATATTTAGACATTCAAATTGGCAAACAATAATTAATATATAAAAATAATAATAATAATAATAATAATAATAATAATAATAATAATAATAATAATAATAATAATAATACTTCACATAAACCATAAATAAATGGGGCATTACAATATGGTTCCACCATTGTTTGAATGAGGTAATAGATGGAAGGCCAGCCCAGGTTACAGGTGAGAGCTCCCAGATTCTGACTGCTTTTGGACAATGAAACAAGACATGTTCCACTATTTCAGGTGCTTCCCCGCAGCTTTGACAAATGATCTCTACTTGCATTCCTCTTCGAGCCAGGTTTGCTTTGACAGGTAATGCCCCGGATATACATTTCCACAAAAATAGTTTCACTTTGCCATGAATTTTCAATTGCCAACATTTGGCAAATGGAGAGTTGTGATATCTGCCTGAATTAGAGCTACTTTCAGGGATGTCCATAGCAATTAGCTTCTGCTTGGTGAGGTAAGAGTAGGTGCTAGCTACAGAGAATTTCCCTTTTGTGTCCATTTTCCAAAAGTGTCTGTCCTGGTGCCCTGGTTTGAGAGTGTTGATTCTCAGAATAGCTGCACTGTCAGCTTCATTATACAGCTGTTGGACAAGCCAGGTATTCCAGCCATTCCCAGTGTCATTGAGGAGCTCCTTGACCCAACAAATATGGTCTCTGGCTATATCCAACAGCTTTGGCTTTGACTCAGTAAGGTAGGCACCCAGTTCACATCATCCAACCTTGTGGATTCCCCATTCCTAATTTCAGTAGCAAATCCTTTGGCAAAACTTGGCAGCACTTCCAGCCAGTTTGACCAGATCCAACAGCAATTATGAGACTTCACAGCATTAAAAATAGAGCAATGGGGAAAGTACCTGTCTTTTAAAATTCTGCTCACAAGAAGATGAGGTTGAGTTGTGATCCTCCATAATTATTTACAAATGAGAGCAATATTGAAGTTTTTGATGTCAATGAAGCCTAGGCCTCCTTCTTCTTTTGGTAGAGTAAGGAAATTCCATGCCTTCCAGTGGATACCTCTATCTTGGTTTTCTCCTTTACTCCACCAGAAGTTAGAGCAGAGTGATGAGATAGCAGCACAGAGAGTTGAGGGAAGTTTGAAGCAAGACATGGAGTAAACAGGTACTGATTGAATAACTGCTTTTAAGAGAATCCCTTTACCAGCCTGAGAAAGGAGTTTAGACTTCCAATTTTTGCAGCTTTGACTTCACTGAATCCAAAATGAATTGAAAGGCTTCCATTTTAGATTTACCAATCCCTAGTGGAAGCCCAAGATACCTGGTGGATCTATGTGCAGTGATGCCTTGCAGGGTAAGGCAAATTCTCTCTTGCAGATTATGAGGTGTGTTCCTGCTGAAGAATATTGCTGATTTTTGCAGATTGACCTTTTGTCCAGTGAAAATTCTGTATCTCTCAAGCAGGTTAAGAATGATGGTGGCTTGATCATTACTGGCTCTATAGAAAAAGAGGGAATCGTCTGCAAAGAGTAGATGAGAGATGGGTGGGCCATTTCTAGACAACTTCAATGCAATTAAATCTCCAGATGCCACAACATTATAAACCAAAGCAGAAGGCATCTCAGCAACAATTATAAACAAGTAGGGTGAAAGAGGGTCTCCTTGCCGGATACCTCTTGAAGGAGTCACAAATCCACCTACAGCACCATTGACTTTGAAAGAGAAAGTGCTTGAGGATATACAAATCATGATTAGATGCACACAATCCTGATGAAATCCCATTTGCAGCATAATTTTCTTGATGCAAAGCCACTCTACTCGGTCAAATGCTTTAATAAGATCAAGCTTCAGAGCCATAAAGTAGTTTTTGCCAGATGAGTGTCTGTTCAAAAAGTGAAAAGCTTCTTGCCCAATGATGATATTATCAAAAATTTGTCTACCTTTAAGGAAGGCAGATTGAGAAGAACTAATACAAGATTCCAAGCATGATTGAAGTCTCAGAGCCAAAATTTTTGAAAGAATTTTTTACACCACTGTGCAGAGACTAATTGGCCTGAATTGAGAGAGAGTTTCTGGGTTGAAACATTTGGGAATTAATGTAATGACTGTGTGATTCCAGTATTTAAGCAATGAGCCCTTTTCAGAGAAGAAGCTAGCCACAACACTTATCAGATCAGATTTAATCACATTCCAAAAGTGTTGATAGAATAATGCTGTCATACCATCCTCCCCGGGTGATTTGTCTGAGCTTAAGCTAAAAAGGGCTTCTTTAATTTCCATCTCCTCTACCTGATTGAGGAGAATCTGGTTCATCTCAGAGGAAATTGAGGGCTGAATCAGGTGCAACATTGAATCCCCTCCCCATGAGCCTTCTGTGGAGAAAAGAGAGGAATAGAATTCTGCTATGTGATCTTGAATCTCCTGAGAGGTAGTGCATTCTCTGTTGGTGGAGGTGAGGAGCCTTGTGATTGCATTTTGTTTCCTTCTACTGAGGTATATGCGTGGAAAAATTTGGTATTCCTGTCTCCCTCTTTTATCCATACAGATTTAGCCTTTTGTTGCCAAAAAAGCGCCTCCTTTCTATGAGCACTTTTCAGTTCTTTCCTTGTAGAGTTCCACTCTGCCTAATGGTCTGATAGTGTGCCTTCTTGCAGAATTTCGAGCTTTTTGGTAAAACAGTCAATATGGGATTGATTGTGAGATTTGAATTTAGCACTCCAGAGAAGTAGTGCCATTCTGGTGTTCTTTATTTTCTCCTTGAGAATGAAGAATGGAGTACCATTAGCAGGAATTGACCATGTTGTCTCCACCACCTCAGTGAAGCCTTCATGAGTGAGCCACCTTTTGTCAAAGTGGAAGCGGCTTTTTGTTCTTTCTTTTTTGTCCTGAGCTGAGAATGAGCATTGCATGATCTGATCCACTTCTAGGCTTGGTGGTAATGTGGGCATTGGGAAATTCTGCTATCCACTCCAAGGTGCCAAAACCTCTGTCAAGTTTTTCTTCCACCATACCCTCTGCAATTCTGTTGTTACACCATGTATATTTGTATCCCACCATACTGAGTTCCTCAATCCCCATATTGTTAATGAAATCTCGAAATCCTTGCAAACTTCTCTCAGTTCTTGGAATCCCACCTCTCTTATCTTCCTTGAAAAGTAGCTCATTCCAATCTCCAATTATAAACCACTTTGATCCCCATTTGTTCCTATCCATTTGGAGGGTTTTCCACTGGTCAATCCTGATTTGATGACAGGTATTTATGTACACAAAGACCCCCCAGGTTCTGTCAGCTGAGTCTCTGGAGAATTCTACGGCAATGTAGAAATCAGAGCTGACCATATTGTGAATTTGGACCTCCTCAGACCATAGCAGAACAAGGCCTCCACTGCTTCCTATGGGATCAACCACTGTGCATCTATTATCAAAACCAAGCTTCCTAGCTACTGACTTAGCAAAAGCAGATTGTTTTATAGTTTCTGAGAGAAAAACAAAAGCTGGGTGGTGAGTCCTACATGACTCCCTGATTTGGGAAACCGTAGAGGGCCTACCCAGCCCTCTACAGTTCCACACCACAGCTAGCATTGGTCACTTGGGTGCCATTCAAGGCTGGCCACCCCCACCTTTGATGGTGAACTTTTCAGTTTCTTATTCTTTTCCTGAGAAGCTATTTGAGGAGAATCATCTTGATCTGTTTGATGAGTTGCAATATCTTCTCTTGTTCTTTTTCCTTTGATGTGTGAGATTTGTTGAGATGATCCTTCTTCCTGCCTTAACAGTCTGCCCTCTTTAGCAGCAGACCTTTTCCACAGTTTGGCTTTGCTTTGTTTCAGCTGAGGAACTGGTTGATGGTGATTGGATTGAATGGGAGTTAGTTCAAATTCCATGCTATTAGGTTTATCTAAGGGTGTGAAATTTGGAGAATGTGTGATTATCATCAGTGTTGAGGGGTTGGAAGGTTCAATAGAAGTCTGCTGGGGAATAATATCTAAGGCCTCTGAGGGGATTAAGGAGGTTTGTTCTGGTTCAGAGGAGATAGGGTATGGCACTGTGGGTAACTGTTGTGACACTGTGGGTAACTGTTGAATTTGATGGCTATCTGCCACCTGGCTACTTGAAGTTGGTAGGGGTGTTTCATGAACAGGAGAGGAAGGTTTATCTGATTTCAAGGGGCTTCTTGTGTCAGAAGAGTTTTGTCCTGCCCAATGGTAGCCATCAGCTGCTCTCATCCAGTCTCCAAATTGTCCCTCTAGAACTGATTTATTTCAGATGTCCTCCATTCTCTTAGAGCAACTGCGGTCTAAATGGCCTATATAACCACAATAATGGAAGTGATTAACTAATTTCTCATATTTGAAACCAACATTAACAACTTCACCTCCTAATCTCAGGATAGCACATCTTGGGAGTGGTTCATTCAAATTAACTGAGGCCAATAGTCTTAGAATTCTTCCTCCATGATTGCCAGCCCCAACCACAACCACATTATTGACCGCTTGAAAAACTGACCCAATTTTCAGACCAATATCAATACTAAGCCAGTTTAGAGGAACATTGAATACCTGGACCCACATTTTCAGTTCCTGAAATGCTTTGTGTTTGATGGTAAGTCCTTGTTTCCATTCTGTGAGCACAAGGTACTGGTTGTCAAAGACCCAGTTAGCCACTTTCATAACTCTTTCTAGGTCTTCCCTGCTCTGTAAAATGAATTGGAAATAATTGTGTCCAAGTTCCTTAACTTCCATCGTCTGTTGCAACCTCCAGATCTGACTCATAGTACGTTTGAGACCAAACCAGCTTGCTTTTCTGTCTCCGATGATTCTACCAAAGAGACTGCGCTGACATTCCTCGTCACTGATTTTAATGTCGTCTTGTGCGATGTCTATGAAGTTATGTTCTCGTTCAGAGAGTGAAAATCCTTTTAAACGTTGCGCCAGATCTTCATCTTGCCCGATACACTTTGGTGAACCCATGTGCAAGAACCCTAGCTCCCGCTTGAGCAAAAACTCAGCAGAAACAGACTGTGTCAAGATAATCAGGAAGAATGTGAATGAAAAAAATAACAGACTGAATCCAATAGCGGGTAAATGGCGAATGAAGAAGAAGAAAAAATCGCTCCCCAATGAGAGAATAGAATCGCTCCCCAATGAGAGTAGCCATAACATACTCATATTTAATGTTTTAAAAGATGTAGGAAAAAACTTATAATAACTCTATTGTTTTTTAGACTTAAACGTTGATTAAAAGAGGTAAAAATTCCTCACTTTTTAGACTTAAATGTTGATTAACACTATAGATTGAGGGCTTATATTTAGTAAAATTCCTAATTGTAATAAAAAAAATTAATTTTTGCTATATTTTAGAATATCTTTAAATTCATTATAAAAGAAAAAAAAAAAGAAAAAAAACTACAATGAAAAAAGCAAGTCAGCTATATATTGATTTGTTGTACTCCTCAAATCACATTCACAATTTGGTTACAAGGAAAGGAAACTCATTGATCAAATATTATTTTGTCAGTAGTCTTAATGTACAAGAGACTTTAAGACTCCACTTGAATATTATAAAACTTTTATTGAACATTGTACAATTTTCTTGCGTATTATAAACTTTTATTGAATATTGCATCTCATAATATAATATTCTCCAAATAAATATATCTCGTGCTTCGCGGGTCACGTACTATATATATCCCGTACATTTTTCTTTATTCATGTATATAATTATAAGCCTGGATAAATAGCCTTAAAATTGTGCACCCCGTGCATCGCACGGGCTCTGTACTAGTTTTACAATAACATAATTGCTTTAAACTAGTACGTAACTCGTGTGATGCACGGGATGTAAAATTTGGAAGAATAATATAATCTCTAGTGCATTAGGATCGAAATTGAAATCAATAAAATGGATAGGAACATTGTTGAATCATAAAAAGTTCGGTAACAATCATAAATTATTAAAAACCTCCTTGTACACAACATTATGAGTTTGATTATTTGGTAACTCCTCATTATCACAAACTAATATTTTCAACCCCTTCTATTATTTACACGCGAAGCAGCAATATATAATTGGTCGTGACTAAAAACGGGTTTCTTCAGGAAAAAACCAACGTGCGATGAAAAAAGAGTTTTTAAAAAAAAGAGTTTTTATAAATTGAAAAGTCAAGGCAATCAGTTCAGATTAATTAAAGGTCAAAGAATATCCGCTCCTTGAAATAAAGACGTGTGCTATCATTAACCAAATATCCGGTTATTGATATAGAGTGGTTACCAAAAAATAGAACGCGATAAGGACGCTTTATGGAAATATCAATGGGATAAGGTCATAACAGATCGCTATACATTTTAACGATAAAAGCTCATATGGAATGATTTAATTAGATGTGTGAAAAGGACATAATTAATGAGAAGTGTAAAAATGACATAATTAATGAGAAGTGTGAAAAGGACAAAAATTTACCGGTTTTGGAAAATATTTAATGCAAATCCGACATTGACCATAATTTGACCTACTATTTTGGATAAATGTTAAGTATAGATGATATTTTTACTCTATTTTCGTAATTGTACATGCAAACAAAACACTTGCAACAAAATCAAGAAGTGATCAACATAGTGAAAAAGAATATAAATCTTTTACTTTTTTTTTTAAACAATAGAAATCATATTTTATTTTATTTTATTATTTTTATCCATATTTATATTTAATTTCTATCATTAAAATATTTGAATATAATAATAGATATTAGAAAAAATATTAATGTTAACTAATATCAAAATTTATTTTATTATATTAAAAATCTGTAACTTATGTACTAGTGTACTACATAGTTTAGTTAAACGGTGTCTTTCACTAAAGGAAAGTTTAATAATTATTTTAAATAACATTTTTTTATTAAAGAAGTCAATTTTTAAAAAGCACAAAACTTATTAAGCGATGTATAACGATAAAAACTACTATATAATAAAACAATGAATAACATTTAAAAAAAATTAAGAGTGTGTGTGTGTGTGTTTGTTAGTATAATTCTTTCAAAACCATGGCATGATTTAAATTTAATTAATATATTATAATAATTATCTATATAGGGTAAGCAACAAACATATATGAAAGAGTAAAGATTCATTTAGAAATTTTTTGTGACATCGTTTGACTATTGTGCAAGATGTACGATTATTTAAGTACGATATGAATTAGAGAATCGTATTGTGTTCTTTGAAAAAAATGAACTTTCATTTATATATATAATTTTCTTGACATCATTTTTAATTTATATTCAGAATAAGAAGTTATTTTTCGAACATTTTAAATTGCCAGAATATTCATACTAAACACAGTATTTAAGGACATCAATGTCATAATATAACAGTACACAGTTAACTTACATTTTTTAATTGATTGTATATAAATTATATTTTTACTTATTAATATCATAATATTTTTATTTTTTACTTTTTTTTGTAATCCATATGCAATAAATACATGAGACATTATTACACACGAGAGTGTAATATGAAAAATACAATTTTAGTTAATAATTATTAATATTATTATAAATTTTAATATATTATTGATTAATTTTTTGTGATATAATATATATATATATAATATAATATATATATATATTTGACTAATATGTATATAATTGTTTTAAATTTTTAAAATTTAAGTTTCAAATACAAAATTTTGACAAATTAATAATTAATTTATGATTTTTTAAAAATTGTAAGGATATATGGTATCAACATTTTGATTTTAAAATACATGCTACTTAATTATTTTAATGTTATATATTATTTATTAGGATATTTACACACACACACACACACACACACACATATATATATATATATATATATATATATACATTATGTAAATTTAGTTAATATATTGGATCGATTACCTATATAGAGTAGGCAACTAATATTCATGAAAGTGTAAATATTCAATCAGATTTTTTTTTGACATCTTTTGACGATTGTGCAAAATGTAAGCAATGTAAGTACCAAATAATTTAGATAATCATATGTTGCTCTCTTTGAAAAACATGTACTTTTTATATATATGACTTTTCTTGACATCATTTATAGTTTATCTTTATAATAAGAGTTATTTCTTGAACATTTTGAATTACCAAAATATACTCTTACTAAACAAGAATATTTATTTTTAATGCCATGAATGTAAATTTTAAATTAACAGTAGAGGTTATAATGTGTATAAATTGATATTCTTAGTTAATCTATATATATATAATAAGAATTACCATTTACTAAAAATAATAGCAAAAAAATAGATAAGAATTTAATGCAGCCTATAAATAGTAAGTTTTATTATTATTTTTTTCTTTAAAAATCATACAACATTAAATGCTACCTTAAATTTCGGACTTTAATTTATTTTATTATTTAAAAAATTCGGCTAAAATTTATTAAGTGTGTATGTTTTTATTTTTATCTTTTTTTTTAGAAACAACGAACAATATTTAAATTTCGGTCTCTATATATATAAAATCTCAATTCAAAATATAACCAAAGTTTTAGAATCTCGGTCTTTATATTTGTGCCTTTAAAAGAAATATTGAACGCTAAATATTATTTAAATTGCAAAATCAATCAGTTAATCTTAGTATTTTAAAAATTACTATGTTTATTTTTTATTAATATGCATAAAGTAAAAATAATTAATTCATCTTTAGATATATAATTTATAATCTTAAAATAATATCATTTGGTGTAAACATTTATTATATGAACCATAAAATATTTTTATTTCATAAAATTAAATATATTTAAAGAAAATAAGAAAATTTATTCGGATCAATCGGGTTATTGAATTAGGGTACTGTACAGGTTGATTGAATTACTTTTAGGTGATATTTAAAATAGTAAAAAACCTTGACACAACTTGGTTGGTCCCAGGTGACTAAGTTATGTATGAGTTCGACCACACCAAATCGATTATTGAACCTAAATATAAACTTTATATTGAAAATATTTTATTACGTGAATGTGATATAGTCCAAACTTCAAATAATCGTATTAATAATATTTTTTATGAAAACATGTTTTATAATTTATGAA